TTAGCTCTGGGACTAGTCTTGTTGCAAACCTTTGCACTTTCTCTAGTTTCTTCACGTGCTTGGCTAGGTGTGTGTGTGTGTGTGTGTGTGTGTGTGTGTGTGTGTGTGTGTGTGTGTGTGTGTGTGTGTGTGAATAGGTAAGCAGTTCCTGTCTCTCAATTAACGGACGGAGGACCAAGCCTCCAACACACATTGAATGGCTCACAAGGGTTTATCGCTTGATATAATACTACTACTACTAATAAAATAATAATACTAATAATAAAAAAAACTGTCTACCTCACATAATTCTACCAAGTCACTCTAAATTCTTTCTTCTGTGCGAAATTACTCTCTTATTTGCATGCATCATCTACCGCAGTTAGGTTACGTTAACGCAGTTACCGTACTGTGGCCTTCGTACATCTAAAAAAAATTATCCTACATAATGGGTATGAAGTGTCGTGGCTCAGGTGTGGGAGTTGCTGGTTCACCAGCCGTGACTACACAGCCACTTATAACCCTCACAAGACGATATTATTGCATGCTATCTACTGCTTAGTGCTAGTAACTAAGTTCACCTTGCTTCCACCTGGCCAATCACAGTAAGATGATAATGGCATAGGTGTGTGTGTGTCGTTTGTCAGTGTGTGAGTGTAGGTGCTGATGAACAAGACTTAGGTGCAGCACCTGTGTTTCTTGAGAAACGTTTCGCTTACATACAAGGCATTATCTCGTTAAATGAATGAGATGGAGACTTTTACAGTGGAATGAGTGGAGAGGTGTAGCAGCACCTCTCCACTGGTTCCAGTAAATAAAGTTACCGTCCTCAGGCCTCTGTATTGGATTAATAAAGATGCGCAGGAGAAACGTCTCAACAATAGAGAGACTCAGGTGTTGTACCTGTCTTATTCATTGACTTGTCAGTATTATACCACTAACCTTATGTATGTAGTGAGTGTAGAGTGTGTGTGTGTGTGTGTGTAGTTTGTGTGTGTAGTGTGTGTGTGTGTGTGTAGTGTGTGTGTGTGTAGTGTGTGCGTGTGTGTAGTGTGTGTGTGCGTGTGTGTTGTGTGTAGTGTGTGGTGTGTTTGTTGTATGTGTGTATGTGTGTGTAGTGTTGTGTGTGTGTGTGTGTGTGTAGTATGTGTAGTGTGTGTGTGTGTGTGTAGTGTGTGTGTGTGTAGTGTGTGTAGTGTGTGTGTGTAGTGTGTGTGTGTGTGTGTGTGTGTAGTGTGTGTGTGTTGTGTTAGTGTGTGTGTGTGTGTGTGTGTGTGTGTAGTGTGGTGTGTGTAGTGTGTGTGTGTGTGTGTGTGTGTGTAGTGTGTGTGTGTTGTGTATGTGTGTGTAGTGTGTGTGTGTGTGTGTGTGTTGTGTGTGTGGTTGTGTGTGTGTGTGTGTGTGTGTGTGTAGTGTGTGTGTGTGTGTGTAGTGTGTGTGTGTAGTGTGTGTGTGTGTGTGTGTGTGTGGTGTGGTTGTGAGTGTGTGTGTGTGAGTGTGGGTGGGGACTCGCTGCAACAAGCCACCATACAAAGTATCACAACTTGGGTGGGGATCTCTCCAGCCGCATCGGGTTACCATATTTTAAAACAGCTATATAAATGTATTTTGTTCCATTACTATGGATTTACCACATTCTTACGAACATATTTTTCGTTAGGTTAATATTGTGGGTTACGTTGCTGCATAACCCTTACGGGTTTAGCTCCTCTTTCATAATAAATTATGGCAGTTTTTTTTCCTTCGTAATAATGAAAGCTTTAAATAACAGGTGTCAGGTTAATATTATAGATTCTGGTATAAAGTGGACACTATTAAAGTTGAAAGACGTATATTTAAAGTACTTTAGTGTTTTTTGATATTCAGGTCATGGGGGGGATAAACAGAAGAGTTAGGCTAGGCTAGGTTAAGTTAGGCAAAAGATAGATTTTGCAATATGTGGGAATTTTTATTTAGGAAACGTTTCGCCACACAGTGGCTTCATCAGTCCAGTACAAAACAGAGAGGGGTAAGGAGAGGAGGAGTTTGAGGTAATCAGTCCCTCAGCCTGAAGTCGATGTGTTCAGTCCATCAATCTTGCAGAAAGTACAGCATAGGGCCGGAGAAGTGACTTATATATTGTAGTCAGGTGAGGCGAAGCTGGAGGATGAGGTTGGAGACACTGCAGCATCATGGAATCTTGAATATAAGGAATTCTTCAATACTTGTTTAACCTTTGGACGAAGACCCATACACTAGTGGATGGTTCCACTGTGACCCCGCTTCCTCCTGCTTCCACTCACCTTACTACAGTATGTAAGCCGCTTCTCCAGCCATATGCTGTACTTTCTACAAGATTGATGACTGAACACTTCGATTCCAGGCTGAGGGACGATTTCCTCAAACTCCTCCTCTCCTTACCCCTCTCTGCTTTGTATTGGACTGATGAAGTCACTGTGTGGCGACTTGTTTCTTTAATAAAGATTCCCATATGATGCGTAAGTGTTTCAATCTTCAGCTTGTCGGTTTTCAAAACCATTTATCACATAAGTTAGGCTAGACTAGGCTAGGCTGGGCTAGGCTAGGCTAAGTTAGGCCAGGCTGGGTTATGCTAAGTAGAGCTATAAGAACTTGGGAACAGAATCAGGACATGTTGAAATCTACACGAGTATGACTGGTGCTGCGGGACTGACTTGAAGTTTGGAGGTGAGGGTGCAAGTGGCCAGGAGGAGTGCACGACCCAGGTACCAATGAATCCTCACCAATGTAAGCAAATTACAGGATATGTAACATTGGTACAAGTAGGAATGGAGGAGAAAGGAGGGGAGGGGCCTGGCTTCCTGGAGATGAATGACTCGCAGCACGAATGTCAACCACTCCTCCCTCCCTCCTTCATTCTCCCTTCCATCCTACCCTCCTCCTTCTTTTTTCTCTCTCCTCTTCCCTCTCACTTTTCCCAGGCTTCCTTTCTCCATCACCTACAAAACCTTCATCAAAGATTGTACTTCCTGAGCAGTATTAAACCAACCTCTTCTAGAACCACACCTTCATAGCTGCTGAACCCGTGATGGAATGAAGACTTACTCATGTGCCACATCTGGGTGCCTTTTTGTAGACGCTTTGACATCCAGTGGCTTTGTCAACACAAGGACATAACGTGAAGACTGTAGAATGATATACAAAAGATAAGGTAAACAGTCCCTCAGCTTTAGAGTTAAAGAACACCGTAGTGTTGCTGTATATAGTTTTACAATCTTGACGTTATGTTCTTGTACTAGTAGAGACATTGGATGGCGAATCGTCTACAAATAGAGATACCCAAACCACGGTACGGGTGGGGTGAACTCGCGGCAGGTGAGTCGTAAAACTCTAGGTCGTACCGTGGTTTGTTTGAAGTCTTCTCATTACGATTTCGTGAGTCAAGTTACCCAGATGTTGCATATTTGTCTAATTCTTCATCTTGTCGGTATTTTATACCATTCATGTAGACCTTGGTAGACTGCCTGGAGATATTCGCATGTCTTGCAGGAGTTTCCATTATCTGACTGACAGATTTCATTACCATATGCATGAACTCTGTCCTGTGTAATTCAGTATTACAGAGAAATATGACGAGCCTTCGTTCTCACAATTTAACTCTCATATAGAGTAGGTTAACAGCACACTATGGGTTTACCCACTGTGTAATTATTATATAACATAGGACAGCCTACCACTGCTGTTGGTCCACCGTACATAAGCCACTTCTCTGATCATTTACTGTACTTTTTTTGAGATTGGTGGACTGAACGCATCGACTCCAGGTTCAGGGACTAATTACCTCAAACTCCTCTTCATCTTCCACCGTTCTTCTCTGCATTGGACTGAAGAAACCACTGGCTGGTGAAACGTTTCCTCAGCAAAGATTTCCAAATGTTGCACAGTTACCGTACATAACACTGACACACCCAAACTTGTTAAGAAAAAATCGTCTCTAAAACTTGGCCCATCTCCCCCATTACGTGAAATATATCACGAAAGACACGTGTAGCAGCTCTCATATGGGGTAATGAGGCAGGGAGGCGCTTCCATGAGCCCATCTTTTGCATGTCACACCGCCCTCATAGCAACGCAGCTTCCCATGATGGTAACCGAATCGTAAACACGATTTTTTTTAAAGTCCCAGACGCTTCCTTTCCTTAGAAGACTTCCGATTGTTAACCTTGGGGTTTAGTAACTTACAATGACTAATAAACAATGTGGCTTATTTAAGCTGGGAGCCTTAGGAATTCTTCTCTAGGATGCGACCTGACCGAGCCTAGTAATGTCCAGATTCATGAGAGATCCAAACCCACATGGACACACTAAAGATTAACAGGTTTTCTGTAAATTTGAATGCCAGCTGAGGAGGACCTCGGTTGGAGGCCGAAATACGCTAGTTACCCTGCACTTCTCACTGGCAGGTGCCCTTTACTCTGCAATGTTTCTAGACATATTTACTGCCAGGGAAACCAGAGGCAGTATAGCTTGTAAAATACGCACACGTTACTCTTTAGACGAATTATGTATAAGGGGCTGATTAACTGCCTTAAGTTACTGATTATGTATCTTAAGCAACTAGTTATGAACTGGAATCACGAAACTAAGGTGAGGTGTAACGTTGGGAGAGAGACTAGCTTATCTAACGAGTCGTAATGATATTCCGTGAATACTGTTACCTTCCCCAGGCGAAAGGGCGTTGTTGGGTGTAAAGAGTGCACCTACGTCGTAGTCAGGTTTAATGAGATGGAACACTTCCTAGCACTGCCTCAGTCAAGTATATAGATAATGTTAACACTATCAAGTGCCTAATAACGTCACCTAGAGATTATATCTGTCTGTATTTCTCTGTTCTGCTAAAAGCCTGTCTTGGGCGATGGTGGCTGTCTGTATGGTGCCTGGGATCCCTCACCGTCTCTTCTGGTACCTAGTAGTGATCTAAGAACGCTTTCTATTCTGGCAGGTAGCGGAGACCTGGGAACACTCACTATTCTGATACCAGGTCTTCACGTGACAACACTCACCGTCTGTTCTGGTACCAGGTCTTGACCTGAGACTAGCCTGTGGGTAGCGCTCTTTTATATAATAATTAACAGACTCACGTCTGGTTCTGGTACCAGGTTTACCGTGTCGTAGTGAGTTGGCTGCCAGTTCCATGCGATCCTGCACACTCAGGTACTTCTGACGCTCAAAGCTCTTCTCCAGCGTCTGCAGCTGGTTGTCTGAGAACGCTGTACGCGCCTTCCGTTGCTTTTTGCACGGCGGAGGACACTCTCCCCCGTCCTCATCGTCTCCATCTTCTGCTGGCGATGCTGGAGAGCCTGCAGGAGAAAAGACAAAAATATTCAAAGACCCACATCTCTGGTGAAGACAAAATCTAAAAACATATAGCTAGCTTAAACACATTTTTTATAGGCTACATTTCGCTCTGTTTAGAGCTTCATGAAGTCTACACATAGTGAAACGTTGACTCAATAAGAACGTGTCTGCACCCCGCTGATAAGAACATGTCAATCTGCCGTCCATGATACAGACACAACCAGTTCCTGACAAGAACACGCCTTCGCCATTCCTCCTCATTTCCCAGTTGTCATGCGATCTACTTCAGCGGGACAGGTACTAATCAACTCACCATATGCATCAGCACACCTGTTCTCGGGCGTAGCGACCAGAGGAAGGAGGAAACTGCTGTCAGAACAGTTCCTCTCCCTGCTGAGCTCAACACCCTACACTGAGAGCTTTGAGCAGGTGGTGTATGGGAGTGCCACCAGGTTTGCGTGCTCTGCTGTGTAATTTGTATCCACATCGCACAGCCTTAACAGAGCTGCAAAGTGAGTGTGTGAGTGAATGAATGTGTGTGTGTGTGTGTGTGTGTGAGTGAATGAATGTGTGTGTGTGTGTGTGTGAGTGAATGAATGTGTGTGTGTGTGTGTGTGTGTGTGTGTGTGTGTGTGTGTGTGTGTGTGTGTGTGTGTGTGTGTGTGAATTCACTACTGTCTGTTAATTATTCATTGTTTCCACATTAATTGGCCCATGTGACTTAGGTATACCTGAAGGGTGTTTCGGGGGTCAACGCCCCCCACGGCCCTGTCCATGACCAGGCCTCGCGGTGGATCAGGGCTTGATCAACCAGGCTGTTGATCAAGCCCTGATCCACCGATCTTGATCGTATGATAACCCGTTTCTTTTTCCGAGAGGAGTGTTAATTAGGCCAAATAGTGCAGGAGCTGCTGCAGTGTTTTAGTACTAAATAGCGTATTTGGGGTATATCAAGGGGCTGCTGTGTTGTATATCTCTGGGTGAAAGCTGCAGATTCTCAGGGGAAGTTTCTCGTGACCATGCCGGCCTTTTTCTCTCATGGTTTCTTTCGTTATTATATATGATTCTTAATAGCATTACTTAAAACTGATCTTGGTGGCGGACATTACATCAGCGAGGTGGAGGCTACATTGTCAGGAGCACCAGTGTTTTTGATGTTATAATCGTCAGGAGGTAAGACAAGCGTCTTCTGACACTGATCCTAATCGTATAAATGTCCCGTTTAGATTCTCTATTAGCGTTCTTGTGATTGTTTCTACGTAAAGTAGAAAGCTCCACTCCAGACTGGTGATTGGCTAACTATAGCCCACTTAAAGCAGCCAATCACCATGACGCAAATTCCTCCGGCCAGCTGAAAATGCCTATTGGAGGAACGCATTTGTGCTGCTTTCTTGCAGACTGGTAATAATGGTAAAATTACCAACAAAATGTTAGGTAAATGGACACAGATACAGCTAATATGACATTTTATTGTGGCCACAATCAAATGTCACATCTCCATTTGTGTCCATTTACTTAAGATCTTGCAGGCTAGTCTGGGGTCTTAGTAGCTGCATACAGCTTGCTCAACCAACCAATCAGACTCCTGAAACTCAAACGGCAGCCAATTTCAAAAACCTGGCTCTCTTATTGGCTGAGGAAAACTTGCCTGACCATCCAGTCACCGCCTTCCATCTCAGTGTTATCTCAGAGAGACCCCTGACCTTCTCATTGGCTGAACAGTGTTTGCCCAAGCAGTCGAGTCTAAAAATTAATTAGCCTACCCTTAAGTCTAGAAACAAAGCTTACAGCTGCAAAGCTCATGGGACGTTCATTGTGGGTTTCATGCTCTAAGGAACTAAGACCTATGCTTCCCTTCTTCAGATCGAATCTGATTGTCTCCCGCTAACCACGGAGACACTTCAACCTCTCACTTCCTCCACCAGGAGGACCTCCAAGGGTTACTGAGTGATGGGGCCAAATTATCCACGAGATTACATGGTGCTGAGGTGGTATATCTTCATGACATTCAGCCTGGCTTCACGCTGCTTCTCTGATGCTTCTTCCTGTGGTGGTACACTTCCTTCAGTGATGGTACACTTTCTTCAGTGGTACACTTCCTTCAGTGGTGCTGCACTTCCTTCAGTGGTGGTACACTTCCTCCAGGTAGTCGTCCTCCTGTGATATCTTCGTCTCTGGCTGAAGTGTACTAGTGACTTTGATTAATTTCCTCCAGTGTCGGTAAACTTACACCAGATACGACAAAACTAACATTATTGATGTAATGTTCCCTCATTAGGTAACTTTTTCGACGATGTAACAAAAGATTTCTGGTCATTAAAATGGTATAAAATACCGACAGGTTGTTAGGTAAGACACATATGCAACAGTTAGGTATCTTTATTTCGAAACGTTTCGCCTACACAGTAGGCTTCTTCAGTCGAGTACAGAAAAGTTGAAAGAAGCAGAAGATACTTGGAGACGGTGTATAGTCCACTTACGTAGAAGTTTTGAGGTAGGTCGTCCCTCAGTCTTGGAGAAGAGTATGTGTCCATAGTCGAAATAAATATGGAGTTGAAGTGACAGGATGGACCCTTATATAGCGCCAGGAGGTGATATGTAGGCCACTAGTAGAGGTAAGAATGTTGTCGTTGAAAGGTCAGGTCCCTCTCAAATCCAGCCATTCTCACTAGTAGAAGAAACCTACTGTGTAGGCGAAACGTTTCGAAATAAAGATACCTAACTGTTGCATATGTGTCTTACCTAACAAAATTCTGGTCTCTGTAAATATTCCTACTAACTTGACGCAACTTCGTGAAGTTCTCTCCCCTGAAAGGACATTCACCTCAACTCAGATGAACCTAAATTCGTGTGGATTACAACGTCTTAAAATGACATCTTCGTTCGAGCAGTGATTTGCACTTTCTCGTAGACTGTGTATGAAGACTTTGTCTCTCATGGCTGCACTAAACCCAGCGAGGATTGTCTGTAACAGAACAAGAACTACAGGTTATTTTTCTAGTCATTTTATTATATTATCTTACTGCATTGTCTTCCTATAAACCAGTCTGCAGGACAATACAATAATATTTAGTCTACACGTAATTCATGTCACCTATGCACTGCCAGTCAACAATACTTTAATCCCTTGTATAGGGATTTAAGTAAACTCCCAGGAGTATATACAGTGCTGCTCTTGGTACGTACACACTGACAGACACATCCTTCAGACTGTGTGTAAGTAAAGTGTTATCTTGTTATCTTGTTATATTTACAACTTCATTTATCTTTGCAATCTCAGCAATATTTTTCAGTAATTATTTTACTGAGGACTCTGATTTATTCTGGTTCTGTGCACGAACAAATCATTAAACTTCGTTATTAACCACTTTACGAAGTCTTTCTTTGAGCTCTCTCTTCGAAGTGACTTAGTGAGGGCATTTACAGTAGTTATCGTCTGAAGAGCCGACTCTTAATTACATCATTAGTACCCATGAGAGAGAATTAACAATATACCTGTTTGCTGTAAAAGACTAGTTGGGTATCGCGAGGGTTCCTAGTTCACTTGCTGCCTAATGTGACTTAAAATATATTTTATAAACACTGGTTACTGTGACAAGCGATCCTACATGGATTATTATTTTTTGTTGGAATTTTTAAATATGTCTATATTATATGGACCCATCTGGAAACGATACAATAGGTTTTATGATGTATTTTGGTGTCACATTAAGTTCCTCTTCAGATAATGATGAGTCTGTTGTTGTGGTTCAAATTAAAAGTGCATTCCCTAGGTTTTTTTTTTATTTTAGGTTTGGAAATAGATTTTATGACCTCCGGGATGACTGTAGAGACCTCGGTAGCATTTTAGGTTAATTCAGCGTAAGTGAAGTTAAGATTTTGTTATAAAGAAGCGAAGTTGTTTTAAGTGTATCACTTGTTTTGTTTTGACAACTTGACTGTAAAAGTTAGTATTTCTTGAGTGTGAGATACAGCATCCTGGGAGATGCCAGTTTCCATGTAACAACAACTTCAGTTCTGCCGGAATGAAAGTTCTGAAGCTCCTGACCCTGTTGTGGGAGATAGTTTCAGCACTCTGCTGAAGGTTTCCAGCCCAGACTGACAGATTTTCTTACCTCAGGTATGAAAATCATCCAGTGTGATGGAATATGACAGGGAAATCATGGGTAGCACAGTAGGTGTTTCCCACTGTGTAACTATCGTGTACAACTGAGCAGCACCAGCAGCACCAGCAGCACCAGCAGCACCAGCAGCACCAGCAGCACCAGCAGCACTAGCAGCACCAGCAGCACCAGCAGCACCAGCAGCACCAGCAGCACCAGCACACTGCTGACACCACAATAACTTCACTTAGGAGAGGAAGCTCTTGACGTTTCGCTCCGTCCTGAACCATTTGTCAAGTCACAACTGAGCGAGAAAAAACAAGAGGTCAGAACACAGGACGGGAGGAGGGAAGGAGAGGCAGTAGTAGTAGTAGTAGTGGTAGTAGTAGTAGTAGTAGTAGTGGTAGTAGTAGTAGTAGTAGTGGTGGTTGTAGTGGTGGTAGTAGTTGTAGTGGTAGTTGTATTGCATAAATTAGTAGTAGTAGTAATCATGAGCGTTCTATTTTAAGTGCAACTATTTGTGAATTGTTGCGGCCACGGTTTAATTTTTTGTTGTTTTTTATACTGCTCACGTGTACAGTTTGAAGAGAAATGGTGAGTCAAAACTGTGGAAGTACTGGAAGGTAACAACTGGAAACACTGCTTCTCCCTTACTAATACCACTCTTGCTGTCACTGCCGCTGTTTTTACTAATCTCATCACTTAAACTCGAGTGCTCACCGTCCTGCTGTCATAGAGCTGTAAATAATACATTAGTTGTGCAGTCTCCGACACTCCTTCGGGAGCCACTGCCGGGTCACCACATGGAGAAGACCCGGGCCAGGACCCGTCCTGGGAAACCAACATGAACATGACTACTGTCGTCACTGTCCCTGCCAGTGTCATTACCCCTGCCATTGTCACTGCCCCTGCCACTGCCGCCGCCGCCGCTACCCTCCTAATTAAGCTCTTGGGGGTCTTAACCTCTATTAAAAAGTCGATGTAACTCGCCCTTTGTTTGTAAAACTCTATTGATGTGGCTTTAATGGACTGTCTGTCCTCTCACTGACTTCCCTCTACCCATGTCTATGCCAAAAAAAAAAAAAACGTGTAATTCAGATATTCATTATGGGCTGTCGTTGTAAGGAAGTTTGGTACATTCTTAAGCTTTTCCTGATACCGATTTCCAGGGGTCCTACGAGGTGTGAGACCAGGTTTCAGTCTTGGCTGCTCGATCAGTCTACCAGGTGTGAGAAAAGGGTTCAGTCTTGGTTGCTTGATCAATCTGGATGTTGCTACTGATGACATACAGGCCTACTTCGTAAATTCTAACAAGGTTAGGCTAGGTTGTTAGTTTCAGGATACAATTATAAATTTTCGTATCAGTGCATAAATATATTTGAGTGTTTTTCTTGGGCAGGAGACGAGCGAGAGACATCAAACTCAATGTGTAATCTGAGACACGATGCTCATTAAGGCTGCATGTCACCTGTTAACCACCAGTCAAGAATACTTTGATACTGAAATAAGGATTCAAGAACACACTCACCGTATATACGGAAGAGAATCATATACCTTTCGGTGTATATACACTGAGAGACATACATCACTAGTTCTACATATACACAAATAACCCACACATAAAAGAGAGAAGCTTACGAAGACGTTTCGGTCCGACTTGGACCATTGACAAAGTCACACTAACCAGAGGTGGAGCAGGACGGCTATATATAGGCAGGAAGAGGTGGTGGTGTAGTAGTAGTAGTAGTAGTAGTACAAGAATGGTATATAATACCGACAAGATGAAATTAAGACACATGCGCAACACCCGGGCATCACTATCGTAGACGTTTCGCCATCCAGCCAGCCACTGGATAGCGAAACGTCCACAACAAAGACAACCAGACGCCGCACATGTGTCTTAATTTCATCAGTAATTTCAACTACTGATGAAACATGTGCGGCGTCTGGTTGTCTTTGTTGTGGACGTTTCGCCATCCAGTGGCTGGCTGGATGGCGAAACGTCTACGATAGTGATGCCCGGGTGTTGCGCATGTGTCTTAATTTCATCTTGTCGGTATTATATACCATTCTTCTACTACTACTACTACTACTACTACTACTACTACTACTACTACCACTACCACTATTACTACTACCACTACCACTACTACCACTACTACCACTACTACCACTACCACTACTACCACTACTACCACTACTACCACTACTACTACCACCTCTTCCTGCCTATATATAACCGTCCTGC